CCTGGCGCTTGACAAAGTGCATATGAAATATAACCAGAATGCAGGATGCGGCTGCACCAACGTTGCAATTTCGCACGAACGCGTTATTAATCTACCACGGGAGGAACTTGAGATAAATCTTTCGGCTCTGTTGTCACGTTCGCTTTAATTTCCTTAATCGAACGTATTCTTAATTATGTTATGTGGTGGCATTTTCGCCAGGATTAGCTGATCAAGGTTCGGTTTCCTGGGCATGATGTGCGAGATGTGTAGATAGAGTTAGTATTGTAGGTTTATTTTGGATAAGACGGTGGATTTTGATGAACCGAGACTCCAAATTCCCACCCCTCCAAATCCCCATCTCTCTAAATTCCCACCCTTCCAAGTCCCCATCTCCCCAAATTCCGATCTTTCCCAATTCCCATCTCTCCAAGTCCCCATCTCCCCAAATTCTGATCTCTCCAAATTCCCATCTCTCCAAGTCCCCAACTCTCCAAATTCCGATCTCCCCAAGTCCCCAGCTCCCCAAATTTCCATCTTTCCAAATTCCCACCCCTCCGAGTCCCCATCTTCCCAAATTCCGATCTCTCCAAGTCCCCATCTCCCCAAATTCCCATCTCTCCAAATTCCCACCCCTCCAAATCCCCATCTCTTCTAATTCCCACCCCTCCAAGTCCCCAACTCCCCAAATTCCGATCTCTCCAAGTCCCCATCTCCCCAAATTCCCATCTCTCCAAATTCCCACCCCTCCAAGTCCCCAACTCGCCAAATCGCACCCAGAAACAACCCCAAAAACTCGACCCGTCACGCTCGCAAACCAAATAACCCAAATTTCCCTTTCACAGAATTCCAAGCATCCGATTCCCTATTCACACGAGTAATCAAAGTGTCAAGAGATGAACGAGAGCAGTCAAAGGGATAAACGTTTATCTTTCGTCACAACTCCCCAAATTCCCATCTCCCCAAATTCCCATCTCTCCAAATTCCCATCCCTCCAAATCCCCATCTCCCCAAATTCCCATCTCTCCAAATTCCCACCCCTCCAAGTTCCCAACTCCCCAAATTCCCATCTCCCCAAATTCCCATCTCTCCAAATTCCCACCCCTCCAAATCCCCATCTCCCCAAATTTCCACGCCTCCAAATCCCCATCCCCCAAAATTTCCATCTCTCCAAATTCCCACCCCTCCAAATCCCCAACTCGCCAAATCGCACCCAGAAACAACCCCAAAAACTCGACCCGTCACGCTCGCAAACCAAATAACCCAAATTTCCCTTTCACAGAATTCCAAGCATCCGATTCCCTATTCACACGAGTAATCAAAGTGTCAAGAGATGAACGAGAGCAGTCAAAGGGATAAACGTTTATCTTTCGTCACAACGAACTCCACTCGATCGATCACGCGAGTAAGTTTCGTAATTACCCAATTTCACGGGGGTGTTTAATATTAAACGCGATGACGCGGCGAGGACGTAATGAATTCATTTATCACGGCTGGCTTATCCCGATCGAATTTCTGCTCGTACCTGTGAATCTATACCGTGCGTTTTTCTCTGTAGCGATTACCATAGATAGCCTCTCTTTATAGCCGAGTACTCACCTGAAACAGAAAAAAGGATCATAGTTAGTAAAATGTTAGATCAACGTGGCGTGACGCGTTTTATTGTGTGTATAATTATGCGTAAGCATCTTAATAACGTGCTCGTACATTCCGTTCCAGAAAGCGTTTATTAAGCGTTTCGAAGGGCACTAAAAAGGATGTATTTTTCGTGTTAGCTGAACAATCTTGCGTACTGACATTTATCAAGTTTTCCTTGAACAAGTTAATTAGCATATTTTAGAAATAAAATAATTAAATATCCGGAAGATATTTTTAAGGTTAATGAATTCACTTGTGTGTAAAAAAAAAAATGACCTCAGTAATTACGTATATCTCAAATAAAAAGTTTCTGTATTTTATCGTAATGCACCAGGTGCAAAGGCACGAAATCTTATTAAAGTTCGTGACACTCCTTCGAAGGTACATCTTGACAAGAAACGAATCGAAGTTCCTGTATCATCGACGATAATCAAACACGGAAAGATGCTGGAAGAGCAAGAGGAGTTGGTCGTTTATCAAAGACGCGGACTTTTTAGCGCGTGACATCAGCAGTTCTATTAGTCACGGACCTGACGATGAGTTCTTCTCGTCGTGACGAGCAGCAATTACGCGAGATCTGGAAAGGAAACGACGTCTATCCCGTAAGGGCAAACAATGTCGGGTTAACGTTACTTTCCGAGGAAACCTTTCATTAAGATTTAACGAGAAAAATCCAGCACCGAGCCGTTACCCGTGCAACCTAACCGCATTTCCACCGTCCTTAATTCGAGAGTCCAAATAAATAACTCAGCGTGAACTCCTGGAAATGGTTAGCTAAAAATGGACGTGCGAAATGATCATGGTGTTCAAACAGCGGCTTTTAAGACTCTTGTGGTTGGTCTTGCTGTTTTAGTACGAGTGACGAGTTTTGATGTTTTAAAATTAAAAAATAAGGGAAGGAAGTTGTGCAGTTTTTAAGTTTCAGAGGATGAAGGGTATGAAGTTTACAAGTTTACTGATTCACTAGTTTTCAAATTTCTAAATTTGCCAAATTCCTATCTTTCAATATTCAAGGGTTGAAATTTTCGACTCCTCAATTTCTATATTTTCAAATTTTCAACTTGTCAAGTTCTCTATTCCCCAAATTCCTATTTTCCCAAATTTCCATCTCCTCAAATTCCCATCTCTGCAAATTCCCATCTTTCCAAATTTCCATCTCTCCAAATTCTCATCTCTCCAAATTCCCATTTCCCCAAATTTCCATCTCTCCCAATTTCCATTTCCCCAAATTCCCATCTCTGCAAATTCCCATCTTTCCAAATTTCCATCTCTCCAAATTCCCATCTCTCCAAATTTCCATCTTCTCAAATTTCCATCTCTCCCAATTTCCATCTCCCCAAATTCCCATCTCTGCAAATTCCCATCTTTCCAAATTTCCATCTCTCCAAATTCCCATCTCTCCAAATTTCCATCTCCTCAAATTCCTATCTCCCCAAATTCCCATTTCTCCAAATTCCCATCTCCTCAAATTCCCATCTCTCTAAATTCCCACCCCTCCAAATTCCCATCTCTGCAAATTCCCATCTTTCCAAATTTCCATCTCTCCAAACTCCCATCTCCTCAAATTCCAATCTCCCTAAATTTCCATCTCTCCAAATTCCCATCTCCTCAAATTCCCATCTTTCCAAATTTCCATCTCCTCAAATTCCCATCTCTCCAAATCCCAACTCCCAAATCCACATCTCAGACACCCTACAACTACAACAAACAAAAAATCTAAAGCAGCCAAAGCCAAATCCCCACTAAAATTAGTTTGTCCCCAGAAATTCCTATCGCTCCATCTGAACCCAGAATTCGCTCCAGGGACAAGTTAAATAAGGTCTAATAGCGTACATTCGTCTTCTTTAAAGAAACGCAGCTACCCGAGAGACGTGCCGCAATTGGGAACATCGAGCAATCCGACCAGGAAAATTACAGGAATATATTTTATTCAAACGACCTGGCAACGTCACACGTTCGTCGTTACCAGGTCGTTTTCGGACGTTGATTTTTGCGCAACGAAATTGTCATCTAAGGTCCCATAGAAAGTACATCGGCATCCTCGTAAGGATGGCAACAGCGATCGTGCAGGGAATAATTTATTGAATCGAACGAAGGATCGATGACGCTTTCGATCACGCCATGTTTTTGCGCCTGAATGAGCAAGTATGCAAAGTCGGCGAAGATCGCGTAAACCTTATTAGCAAATTACGCGAGACTGCGGGGAAATTCGTTTCCACTCCTTAGTTTTCACTGTCGGTGCGTGGAATTTTCTGAAACTTTCTCTGCAACGTACACTTCTCTACTATTTTCACGATACACTAGATATACTACATCAACTGTATATACTTTATTATTTAGATATATTTAGATACTTTATTATATAGATTATTAATTTATTATTAAATATCATATTTCCACGTACTACATTTATTTTATACTCTTTTATTACATTTATAACATAGTAGAATAATTTTACAATTTTTTCTATCTCATCAAATTTCAATTAGAGTTTGGTTAGCAATTATCTGTTCATATAAAATTATGTATAAATCTTCCCAGTATCAGAGATCAAAATTAATAATCTTTTAAGCATACTGCGTTACAGATACGTTTTTTACCGAAGTAAACAGAGTCGGAAAATTGTTGCTGCTTTAGGTCACGTTTAATGTACTGTTATCAGTTACGACGATATAAAATACATCGAGCGAGTATCGTGCGCAAAAAACGATGATTATGCACAGTTGACTTCAGTTTATTTCCAGATACATGTGAGGACAATAACAGTGATACGGTTACATGCTATCGCCATGTAACACATAATATCGATTAGTTAGCTTTTCCGAGTAGCTCTCAATTTACTCAGACTATAAAACCTTCCTATCTAAACTGTGACCTTGACTTAACGTTTTCTCAAGCTTAAACTGAAGGAAAATGCCTGACATAGTATTATCTTGAAATTGCGTTGAAGATGCTCAAAGTCCGTACAGAAAGAAATTTGATAAAACTGGGTACAGTTAGCAACTTGTATAATATACTTGTGATAATAGTGTAATAAACTCGTACTTCTGGAATTGAATTTTAGATTCTTCTTGAATTTTAGATCAATTTGATCGAAGATGGAAGGCGAAATGTGCTTAACATCTTAACTTCCTTCAGTGATATTAACGTTGCAATAATAATTAGCTAGCTGTGTGACTATCCACAAAATTGTAGGTTAAATTTGACCATGACCACTAAAGTGATCATAAAGTGACTACTGAAACACCTCGCATATTCCAAGTCCTCATCTCGATAAAACACAATGAAATATTAACAAAAGATCGATGGTAACAGCAACAGTAGCGCCAAAATCGCTTCCTTCATTAATATTTAAATGCCCGGCGACAGGATGTGACAAGTACCTTCATGAAAGTGCACCTTTCTATAAGGCCGGTGTCTGTTCTCCAGAGGTAGATCGTGCGGTCCCAAATTCTCCCTCGACAGCGAGCTCACCAGGATCCCCCTAAGAGTCGCGAGGGTGCTGCTCGGTATCTCCCTGTTCATATCGCCGGCTCCCATATCACCCGACCTTCAACCGACATGTCGCAATCGATACACTATCCTTTCGCATGCTTCGGAGATTCCTGGCACGCTTCGACGTCGCGAAGCGACCCGATCTCTCGAGAGTCACCGGTTACAAGCGAAACACGGTGATATAAGGTGTCGGTATTGGAACGGTCGCGTTTATTAGGAATTTCAAGGCGAGATCGCGCGAGGCGGACGATTCTTTTCACCGCGATGCACGCGGACTAGTAACTGGCTTCTTCATCGGCCGTCGACGACCACGAGCGCGCCAAGTTGCGTCACCATGTAAATTTAATCGACTGTTTAACGACTGACGGCTCGAAAGCGAGCTGCAAAGGTCGCGTGTGCGGGCGTAGCTGTACACTCGCGAGCAAGGTAGATCTCTAGGGAGCTTGTAGAACCTGGCTCGTTGCACCGAGGACACAGTTCAAGTTTACAGACGACATAATTCACAACATTTTGTCACATTCCCAGACTGCTTTCAACTCTCTAATTTTCATATTAAAAATTTGCAAACTTAGTTATCTGGAAATTCAGGAGGTTGGATGATTTGAGTACTTAAGAATGAATTGGGTGATGTGGGCACTCTAACACGTGTGTCAGACAGTCTCTCTAATTTAATGTATTAAAAACTTGCAATCTTAGGTATCTGGAAATTCAGGAGGGTGATATGAGTACTTATTAACGAGATCGTTGATGTAGGTACTCTAACACTTGTCTCAGAAATTTAGACCCAAATAATGGCAATGTAGGAATGTAGACCCAAGATCAAAATCTTCTACACTGTATTCTAAAGCAAAGTCTACTTTGCCCCAAAGTGACTATACATAAACAGGTCCAAAAATGCTTACTAGTAAGCTACGGCTACAAAAATCGATTTAATGGTCACTTTGTGTCACTGAAGAGTACCAATCGATTTAAAGCTACGTTTTGTACGCTCCACACGCGAAAACATTGACAGTAGCGGTCACTTCACACACGCGCACGCGCACGCGCACCACACTGCAGCGGAATTTCAAATTTCCCGCTCGATGCTCACAGTAACAATTTGAGAGAACACTTGGACGGATGAAATCGAGAGGATTGGACACTGACACGAGCAATCGATCCAACAGCGGAATCGCGATCGCGGTAACGAACGGACGTCCCAGTGGAACATACTCGACCGTGTGACTGACTTGTTCGAGAAGCCACAGGTCCCTCCTTGCTCGCAAGTCTTTCTTGCTCCTTCCTTGAGCTTCTCCCACTCTTCCGGTCGGTCTGATTCGACGGACACTTGCTGGCTAACGTATACCTTCGACAATGTACCGTATCGCACTTCTGGTTTGTCTACAAGGGGTGGGGCTCGGATTGTTTTCCCTCGCATCGACAACTTCCAGACCTTGCTTATTGGGATGCTTTATTTTCGCCTGCGTTTGGACCTCTAACGAGTACTGTTTCCAAGTAATTAGGAAAGTTTTGGTGGATGGAATTATGGGGTAGAAATTTGCTGGGAACACTACTCGATTTAATGCTTGATGGAAGTACAGCAATTTAGGGTACCTTCTGTCAGAGGTCGAGTTAAATTTATTAGTTGTACATTATTTAGGAATATATTGAATGTTTAGTAAAAATGAAGTTAGAGAAACTTCAGATGAAATGTGTCTGTTGACAGCTGTTTAGTACATCATCTTTTGTTAGAGAACAAATTAAATGTACTAATCAATGTACTCTATTTTAGTAATTTACTCAATGTGCAGTAAAAATGAAGCTAGTGAAACTTCGGATGAAATGTGTCTGTTGACAGCTGTTTAGTACATCATCTTTTGTTAGAGAACAAATTAAATGTATTAATCATGGTACACTATTTTAGGAATATACTCAATGTTCAGTAAAAATGAAGCTAGTGAAACTTCAAGTGAAATGTGTCTATTGACAACTATTTAGTACATCATCTTCCATCAGAGAACAAATTAAATGTATTAATCATGGTACACTATTTCAGTAATACATTCAATGTTCAGTAAAAATGAAGCTAGTGAAACTTCGGATGAAATGTGTCTGTTGACAGCTGTTTAGTACATCATCTTTTGTTAGAGAACAAATTAAATGTACTAATCAATGTACTCTATTTTAGTAATATACTCAATGTTCAGTAAAAATGAAGCTAGTGAAACTTCAAGTGAAATATATCTATTGACAACTATTTAGTACATCATCTTCCATCAGAGAATAAATTAAATATATTAATCATTGTACGCTATTTAATAATAAACTAAATGTTCACTAAAAATGAAGCTAGTGAACATTCAGCTGAAATGTGTCTTGGTGACAACTATTTAGTACATCATCTTCTGTCAAAGATCGACTTAAATATATTAATAATTATGAACTAACTCAATATCCAGTAAAAATGAAGCTAGTGAAACTCCAGGTGAAACGTGTTGATAGAAGTGTACAATATATTCTTTTGTGACAGCGATCTCACGTTTTCCCTGACTCTAAAAATATAAAGAACGTCAAATTTGTGAGAGATTTATGAAGAGTGCGAGAAACTACACGCGAAGAAAAGATGACTGATAGACTGCTTTACGGTTCCATGAATAGTAGAAAAATCTTCGGAAATAATTTAAGATGGTATAACATGCAATAACACGATACGCAATTATACTTTGCTTTAGCATTTAAAATTTCCATTATCGTCGAAATACCGTTATTAGCCCGGTGCAGTCAAATTTGAAAGAAATTTAATAACAGCGTATTATTCCGGCAGAGCCACCTTAATTACACGATTCGCAGAGAGTTTCCATAAACGAGTACCATATTGCGACGCAAATAATATTGAGATTCATTGCCGCGTTTAAAAATAGAGAAAAACACAATGTCGATGAATATTCGATATCGAACCGCGATCCATCGGCTCATTATCCACCTGCAGCCTCGTAAGAGGATAAAAAGAGATGACGCAGACGTGCCTCGCCTCGATATTCAAATCGGCCGGATGATTCTCAATGCCGGAGCGTTTCTTGATTACGTGGCGTTCGTCATCGTTTCCCAGATAATGATAACGACACGATACTCGACGTGTAAGCACAAAGAAACGGGTTTTATCGTCGGGGAAACGAGCTATCTCGAACACGCGAAAATCAGCTAATTCGCGTCTCGATCGTGTTTCTCGTTTTTTTCCATCGAGCAACGGCGAAAACGACCCCTTGAAAGGCGATGACGACAATTTTTACGGCGCGCTGGATCTGCGGTGCGTTGAATTCGCGGCGCGTCAGATTTTAGGAGCGTAGGATTTCTGACGCGTTGGGTTTACGGAGTGCTGGATTTGCGACACGTTGCATCTGCGGCGCGTTGGATCTACGGCCCCGTTGAATCTGCGGTGTGTTGAATTTGCAACGCGTCAGATTTTCGAAGCGGTGGGTTTTTAACGCATTGGATTTACAGTGCATTGAATTTGCGACGCGTTGAATTTACGGTGCGTTGGATTTGCGGTGCGTTGGATTTGCGGTGCGTTGGATATACGGCGCGTTGAATCTGCGGTGCGTTGAATTTGTGGCGCATCAGATTTTCGGAGCGCTGAATATTTGACGCGTTGGGTTTACGGTGCGTTGAATTTGCGACGCGTTGGATCTACGATGCGTTGAATTTGCGGTGCGTTGAATTTGCAGTGCGTTGAATCTGCGGTGCGTTGAATTTGCAGTGCGTTGAATCTGCGATGCGTTGAATTTGCGGCGCG